TGAAGCGCCTTGAAAATAGAAAGCAAGCTTCAATGCCTAAAAAAAGACGCGTGATGCCCCAACGTTACGGTTTTATTCATGAACTTACCGTAGGAATATTGGAATTTTTATAAGGAAACGCGCTGCAATTTTAGTTCGATTGACAGAAGAAAATAAACCTGTACAGTTCAATATAAAGTTTTGCTTTTTTGTTTTTTTTTTAGATTTTTTTCAGTTAAAACAGTGGATGATGGGGCGCGTCAGTGAGGTTGTGTATATCGAGTTGCCAGCCTGTACTCCACCTTGTTGGAGCGAGTAACAACTGACCATGAGACACGACGACTGATTCAAACCAAATAATACAGTCTGTCCCTCACCGAACTTGAAGGAAGGGAAGGTGCGAGGTTGCGCAGCCCCAAACCGATCTCCACCTCCCCCCTTGACAGCTTTTTCATCGGCAGAGAACAGGACTGTAGTTCTAAAGGCAACTGGCGCGATAAATACACTAGACGCGTAGGATTATTATGCTCAGCAGGACAGAACTTGGCGCCAATGAGGCTTTCTCAAGAGATGTATCCATGTAATGCCCTATGAAGCTGTAGCATATGTACCGATCCGGACGCCCCCTGCGCGCGATCGCCCACAAATATCCGACTGATGGCTGTAGTGCTTTATTTGCAGAGTATAATATGAAGCTAAGGAACTGATATGAAGAAGCTCCGTTGCAAAGGATGTATGGGTTTCTATTAGGTTGTCCGGAAAGTTCTCAGCGTTTTGTGTTACTATTTTTGTACATTCATTGCTGATTAAAAACTCATTCTCCCTTGCGTCTCAGTAGTACATCCTGAAGAGAATTTTTTGCGCTATCTGATGGTATAATTGCCGTTTCACCATTGCTTGATAAACCCCCTTTTTTCAAGATTTTTCAAGCATGTCAAAAGAGCAACTTCGGACGATATTGTTCTTCAACTACAAATTGGGTCAATCCGCAGTCGAGACAGCTCGACAAATTAACCTGTGGGGGCCCAATAGTGTTGGAGAAAGCACCGTGCGACAATGGTTCGACAAATTTCGTTCTGGAGATTTCAGCCTTGAAGATGAACCTCGTAGCGGTCGACCTAAAGCAATACCTGACGAGGATTTGAAGGCGTTTGTGGAGGCTGACCCATCCCAAACAGTTCGAGAGATTGCAGAAAAGCTAGGCGTTGGCAAATCCACTGTTGCGGATGGTCTGAAACGCATTGGGAAGGTGAAAAAACTCGACAAGTGGGTGCCCCACAATTTGAGTGACCGGCAGAAATTGGCACGTCTCGAGGTTTCTTCTTCACTGCTTTTGCGCAACAGAAACGACCCGTTTTTGGACCTTGTCACCTGTGATGAAAAGTGGATCATGTATGATAACAGGAGACGTTCCGGACAGTGGTTGGATGCCGACGAACCACCGAGGCAATTTCCAAAGCCGAATCCTCACGAAAAAAAGATTATGGTCACAGTGTGGTGGTCATCGGCTGGTGTGATCCACTATAACTTTTTGTCACCAGGCCAAACCATCACAGCAGAGTCCTACTGTGAAGAAATCGACGAAATGTACCGAAAATTGCGTCAGCTGCAGCCAGCACTTGTCAACAGAAAGGGTCCGATTCTTTTGCATGACAACGCCCGCCCACACGTTTCACAAATCACTATCCATAAATTGAACGAATTGGGGGTTGAAGTTCTACCTCACCCGCCATATTCTCCAGACCTTTCACCAACCGACTATCACCTTTTCAAACATTTTCAGAACTTCCTTGCTGGAAAATACTTCATCAATCAGGACCAGGCAAAAAAGCCTTCGTGGATTTCGTGGATTCTCGACCACCCAGTTTTTCTTTGATGGGATTTATCGACGGTGTCACATTGGCAAAAGTGTGCTGATTCGAACGGTGCTTATTTCGATTAAATCCGATGAGTATTAAGAAAGTTATGATCGTTTAAAGTGAAACACTCAAAACGCTGAGAACTTTCCGGACAACCTAATACATTCAGCCGTATTTACCGTAACGGTTATTGGCACGATGCCAACGGGGAAACCAAAAATAGGTTTCTGAATCGTGCAAAACAAGATTTTTTTCGCGGATTTCTGATCATTTCGATTTTTTTTCTACCGTTTGCCCGCTACATATCACTCCTGCTAAAATTTTTGACACAGTATCAAATTATCGTGCTTGTACTTTGAGTGAGACATGGAGTGAGGTTTTCATTCCATTCTAATTGCGAATAACAAAAAACGTTCGATGGTCTTGACAGAAATTCAAAAGTCCGATCATTCACTTCACACTCTTTTGTCGGAACGTTACCCTATAGAAAGAGATGGACTGTCTTACCGTGAAAAAGTCGATGATTTGCAAGAGAGTGGGTCTCTAGTGATTTCAGTTGATCGATTAAGTTCGTTTGTAGCTAATGTAAATTGTTTTCAAGATAGAGGGTGAAATCCGTACCGATCCCGTTGCATCTGACGTCCTTTCGCTGAGAACGAAGGGGCGCGTCAGTGAGGCTGGGAACAGGGTACAGCATCGTTGTGCGAAACCCATAGGAGGGGGAGTCGTAATCTCAAGGGTCACTCAGAGCCGGGCAATGCTTCGACATTTCAGTTGATAGTGGGAGTGGAGCTATGGAAGTTGAGATGTTAAAAAAAAATGAAAATTATTATGAGTGTATTCTTTACAGATTGAACTGCTACGTTTAACAGCCCTCTTTTCATGCGAAATCCCCAAAATGGGTTCGTACTTGGCCGCGGGGGACATGGGGAGTATCGCAAAAGTAGGCTCGCTAGGCATCAAACAGTACAAAAGTGTCATTGCTAAGTTTGATGGAAGGAACGGAAAGCTGCAGAAGACCCGGATGTAAATAGGACTACAAAATAATAAAAATTTATTAGCAATATAGCAAGAATATCAAGAATAAATAAATAAATAAATAAATAAATAAATAAATATCAGTTAATAGCATGAACTCGTAAGTACGTAGATGACTAAATAATACGTCTCAAACAGATTCGTGCGTATTGTCCTTTCCAAACCCTAAACAAACATCTGCTTGCATGGATAAAAGCACCTGAAATCAGAATTTATACCTTTCCATCACCTCTGCGTAGGAGAGTAATGCACGGCGCACGCTCGGACCAAATCGATCAGTGATAGCCGAGCTCCTCTTTCACTCATTTGAGGGAAATATGTGTTTTGGAGTTTTCGAAGGTGTATCCTCACAATGGCACAGAAGGAGTCGATTTTTCGGGTGGGTCAGAGGGTAGCGCGTCTGTGACCCATCTAAAATATCTCCTGAACTAGTGGGTCTTCAGAAAAACTGTAAACCTTATTGGAAAGAGAAAAGATAGGGTGGTTTCCAGACTATAATGGAACTGCATTCGAAATAAGTAGTCCTCGTGTGAGGCAGCTCACCATTCCTCGAAAGCTCCGCACCTAAAAGAGATATAAGCTCCTGAGAACAACAGAGGACGCTGATTTTCGAGTTACCGCGCTCCAATGACGTTTTTGCAGCGGGAGCGGTTGCGGCCTTGCGATCGATAATAGCCAAGTATAGAACGATTTACTGCCGCCTGGTTACCCTTTTTTCTCATTTTTTCTCATGTTCTCATTTTTTTTTACTTTCCTTATCTCGGTTTGTTGTGTCGTTCATGATTTCCCCGTCACCATCCATTGAATGCGCGTCTGGGCCCTGACACGCTGACCTTGGGGCTAATTTTTTCACCAGTTTAGCTCATTAATGATCACCATTAGTCGCTGTTTCGATTGTGTTCCTTCTTACAAGTTGCATGTCATACATGGTTATCGAACGAGGAGTTTTATTTTGAATCCTAAGACAAAATTGTAGGTAATGCGAGGCTGTTGTTCAGCCTCATATTGCATGAGGCTGAAACAGCCTTTATTGCCTGGATTTTAGAGCAGAGTCCGCCTTTCGAAAATCCAGATTCCATTTCAGGAAGCCATTTGTGGTGAACATGCATCTGGTTTTCAGTTAGAGCAGGAGGGGGGGGTCGTATCTGGACCCCCTTCGAGGGGGGGGTCGTACTCACACCGCCATTTCGCACATTCCCCTGGTTGGGAATGGCGCAAGGTCTCTCTCGAGATATAAAAAAGGCGAAGATTCGTTGGGGTTATGGGTGAGAAGAGCGAGTGCGCATACAAACGAGAAAGACGATAGTGGTGAAATTTTGGACAACGACCCTTTTCTCTGGGAATATTGCATGATATTTATGGGCAACAAAACTTAGCTCATTGTTTTATGCTTGTCATAAAGACGTGTTCTCATGACTGTAAGCCTTCTATAGGTATTTTGGTTATTATGCACCATTTCGCAGATAAGCTGGCGTCAGCATTTATAAGTGAA